ATAATCTTATGAAACTTTTGTCTTTGCAATTCAACGCAATGAGATTTTATTGCCATTTTAATTTTCGTGAGAAATTCCTTTATATAATAAAAACTTCTAACATTGAGAGTAAAAATAAAAGAGATTATGAGTGCAAAAACGTTTCTCTTCTGACAAGAATGGAACCGTTGCTGAGATCCCGAATACTTAATTAGGGGTTTGGCTTTAAAATTGTTTAATTGATATTTTCTTTTACGTAAATGGTTATTAGCATGCCTTTTTCAATTTAAATCTGTACTTGAAAAAAAATGCATAGAGATATATAGATAATGGCCAAAAAAAGTTTCATGAATGTTTTAAAAGTAATACTTTCCTTTTAAAATTAAAACAATGTAAGAAAATATTTTCGAGTGGAATTTCTAAAGAAAAAGATCTTACTTATTCGGGATAAGTAGCTAGGCAAAAAAATCTAATCTTACGCCTTCACTTAACAGTTTACATGATAAGGGTAGAGGTGTGGAGAGACCGGTTTTTATGCTTCATTATAAAAATCGTATCAATTTTCAAAGTTTTTTTAAGAGATAGTTTTGCATAATTAGTTGTAACTTGTGTGTATTTATAATTATACTTAAAAATCAATAATCTGTATCGTTTTTAAAGACAATTTACTACCTGCTTCTCTACCTAACATCAATGTTTAGCGTGAATTTAAAAAAATAATAAAAAATATCATTATAATATTAATATTTACTTAGGAATATCAAACGTAAAGAAACACGTTTACAAATTCTAAATCACGGACTGGCTCGTGTTTTACTTTTTATATCAAGTTTATATTTCAAACTCCAAATATTCTCATTAATTTTTTTCCTTGTAAAACATGTACCTATATATTTATAAAATCATGCCCAAGTGCCAAATTTAAACGAGTAAGTAAAAAGTAAAGATTAAACGGCTGTATAATTTTAAGCCAGTGTAGACTTTTTTTTAATTTGTTTTTTAGCAAATCCATTTATTTCACTATGTTCTTCTGAAAGGTCTTACCGCGTTTTTTATTTCAACGAATTTAATCATAGCATTCAATATTTCCATTTTCCAACAACTAATATTATTTAAAACATAATCATGGCTTTTAAACTAATTTTAATCATTGATAAAGTGAATGTTAGTTATTGGTTTAGGCGTCTATTGACATTGACGATTGAATTAAGTAAGGCAGATGAAAAATTTTACCTGGTCTTAACTCTTTACGGTACCTACCGTAATATTATTACAATCCTTTGTTGCAATATACCAAAGGAAAAAACGGACAGAACGACATTATTTAGTGAGATATAGAACCTATTTTACAATTTGTAAGATAAACTATCATAATAAGTATTAATTATGTACTTATGTAGCAAGAATTTATTTTATCTTGTTGACAGAACCTACATATTACATTATAATGGCCATATTAATTATTTATAGATACCTATGTAAGCGCTTGATTTTTATTAGGTACTTTTGCAGTTGCTCACAAGTTACAAATAGTGATAACATATCAATAATCAATTGAATGTAGGTAGTAATATTACGATAAACATTCTTTTAAGCATGATGTCACCATTAGTGAATGGTTCAAAATTTCTAGTTTCCGAGAAGCGAACAATAGGCAATAGAACAAAGCGCAGGCGACAGGCTTGTGTAGTTGCGCGGGCACAGGTAAGAGCCGTTTTTGCCTACCTACCTTTCGTGCCCTGTCCCGACGCCACTGCCAATGACAGCAACAACGCAGCAAGGAAGCCCCTCTCTCCCCCTCGCAACATTTTCTCAATTTATTTTTATTACTATTTTGAACACGTCACTGCAATAAAAACTTGTCACAGGCCGCTAACAAACACTCACGGAGTCTCGTATTTACACAAATCACGAACACTATCACAGAATACAAACGCACATCCATTTGAAAAATGTCCGTTTATCCGATAAAGGTAACCGCTTCGCACGACTCGTGGGACGAAGCATGCAGGTAAGACGAGTAAGCCTATTAAGTTTCAATGACTTAAAACTACTTATTTAGGTCGTTATTATTAGAATAAGCACTAGTAAGTGATTTAGTCGCGTTCAGTTTTCTACAGATTTGTGTTTGAAAACTTTACATATTTTCGTAAAACAATTTCGAAGTTGGGAGCGAAAACGGACGTGACGCGACACGACCGCCCGACGCATCGTTCGCGGCAGACTGGCGTGAAGTGAGCGAACAATCAACAAGTTGCGATCGCGCGCGAGGCGGGCCACTGCGGCCGGAGCATGCGCCATCTGCTTCTATATTCATACTCGACTATGCCACAGTGTTGTACCCCGCGCCGGCAAAACTTCAAAACCGGATTTTTCGCGCAAAAACAAGAAGACGGGATCTCTCCTGAGTTAGCCCGACGTGAACCCGCTTGTATCTATGCGATTCTGATTTAAAATAACTTTACAGAAAAAGGCACGTAGGCTTATTTATCTATTGCCATAAATAATTACGCTGTTGGAAAAATTCGTGATGATTTTATCAAATTGTAAATAGCGACTTGTATTTATATTTACGGTATCTATATGATCGTAAAAAGTTGCCGTAAATACTAACTTTTTAACCATTTATTCATAATATTTTAAAAATTTAATTCTCTTTTCTTATAAATATTAAAAACCCCTTATTTTTTAATAATAATATATTTATTTGCAAAAAAAGTTTATTTATTACCTGACTGACAAGGAAGGATTATGTTTTTCGCGCGTATCTATAGGTACATATAATAAAATTGTAACTAAGCCGAATCTGTACATTAGATATTTTTTGGAAAATCTTATTGAAATAAACAATAATATCGATGCAGAAGCCGAATCTATAGTTTTTAGAATTTTTGTCTGTCTGTCTGTACGGTACCGCATCACAGAACAACCACTGGAGGGGAGGGAGGGAAAAACACAAAAATATACTATATGTAAATATAATATACTATAAGTATACTAATATGTAAAACCTAAGAATTTGGTTTTTGATCATCTGGACGCGTGCGGAGCCGCGGGCAATGCTATTCTTATACCTATATATGTAAATATGTATGTTTCTATGTATGTTTGTAAATCTCCTTACTTTATAATATGTATACATAGCTGCGTGTGTATATATGTATATAGTACTAGCGGCTCACCCTCGCTTCGCTCGGATTCGCCTCTAGAAAAACACTAATAAAGGTCTATTAGTTCCCACGGGAACCGTACATTTTTCCGGGATAAAAAGTAAGCTATTTGTTATTCTGATGTATGACCTATATTATTGTAAAGTTTCATCAAAATCCAATCAGTAGTTTTTGTGTACTAAGCTGTATAAGTTACTATAGTTTTTTGACTGTCCCACGGGAATCCTTTAATTTTCCGGGATGAAAAGTAGCCGATTTGTTATTACCATGTATGAACTATATTATTGTAAAGTTTTATTAAAATCAAATCAGTAGTTTTTGTGTACTAAGCTGTACAAGTTATTATAGTTTTTTAACTATCCCACGGGAACCATTTAATTTTCCGGGATAAAAAGTATCTAAGATGTTGCCCGGGGATATAAGATATCACCATGCAAAATTTTATTTAAATCGGTCCAATAGATTCGGAGATTAGCCCGTACAAACATACAAACAGACAAACATTTGTTGATTTGTTCTATTTGTCTTCTTACATCCGCCTGACACGGTTTTTAGCATTTTTTTGCTATGTACAGACATTCGACCTCTACTCTTTTATTATAGAATAGATGCCTTCGACTACATAATATTAAGTTCCTTCGTCAACGTGTTCTCATCTGTTTAGTTGGCTTTTTACCTGTTTGTTTATTTCTTACCTCTAGATCCCTCAAATTCAAACCTCATACAACCGTGATAAAATTTTGCTCAACATTGCATTAATAAATAACAAAGACAGTTCGCGAGTTATTAAAAAATCTGCCAGCTTCAACCTACATATTATTTATGCTTATGGTATGTTTAATGTTTGTATGAATATAAAGGATATCCGTGGTTTTATTTACATTAGGACCTACATTATGGACTTGCCATTATATTATTACGACAATCCTTTTAATGTTATAGGTTAATTTGTTTGGTAAACTAAAGTAAACTTTGGCTATAAAATACGATTTGCCTTGGTTGTTTTGTAACGTGTTCAAGAATCCCTTTATAAAACTTTATGTACCACATATTATGTCTAAAAATTTATTTTGTAGAAATTGCAGAACTCAGCTCTGACCCACTAAGGTAAATTTCAGTCGTTGAAAGAAAGTTAATTTTAATAAAATCGCATATAAAACACTTTAATGTTTATAAAACACTGTTAGTGAGTGAATGTGTGTCTGTTACCTACATCTTAATATTGTCATAATGTTAATTAAATTCCTGATGTACATAGATTTTTATTTATTAAATAGGTAAAGCCTATATTAACATAAGTTACTTCTATCAACCTGTACGTTTTCATCTCAGGTGGAGAGTATAATATAATAATAACAAATTAATTCATGTATCTAGTACCTATTTCGAATATATTCTAGTTTCCACCGTTAAATCAAACACGTTTTTCCTTTTAGCCTTTTATACGTATCCTCGATAATTGACATTTTATCGTCTCGTATCGACCAATACTCGACGTACTTACTTTAAAGCCTATATCTATTAGTGGTTCATAATAATGTCTGTCAATCCTACATCTCCCTCAGGTTTGGGTCACTAAAAACCTTGATAATGAATATTTAAAATAAATTTGGATCACTGATTATCATTCGTAAATCATTATCAAAACAAACTGTAAAATGAATAGGTTTAATGAAAGACCGCCTTTTAATAAATAATTAAACGTTTTTATCGATTAAATTAAATTTTACCATTATCAAGCCGATAAAAGAAACAAGAGAAACGAGTTGATCTGCATTTACATTCAGATTGAATTTTAATAAAGATATGATAAAAGATAAAAAAATATGAAAAATATTTATGTTTTACTTACTGGGCATCCTCATTCGTGGAGTAGGCATATTCCTCTCCTTCGTCTTCGTCGTCTTCAGAATCTTTCAAAAAATGGAGAGAACTTTAAGCATATTGTGAATTATATGTTTAACATTACCTACATAATATATATAATTATTTAATTACTTGTCAAATATTTTATAAAACCAAAGTAAATACATAACATGTAATAAAATATAATAATATATAATACATAATAAAGTACATAATAAGTATAGATCTTTTTCGTTCAAGAAAATATCATTAATATGGTATTTCTAGGATTTAAAAATGGTCTTGAAGATCTGTAGAAGTGACTTACTATACATGTACTTCAGTATATTTTTATATAGACATAAATACTTATATTTTATGTAATAGGTCAAACAACCCAAGGCAACGTTTTTTCATCAATGAAATATATTTGTTCAGAATTTATCTATCGTGTTTTCTTTCAGGTCACATAATAGTTTCAAGGCTCTAAGAAACGACACCTGTCGATAAAATAATACTAAGTACTTTATTCGTTTTTTTTTTGTAAAATGTATGTTTCTGAGATAGAGAGATATTTTTTTTTTGTCTGTGAATTTTATATGTTGTTTTGAATTGTTATTTATGTAATTTTTTTTTACCGAAACTAAAAATGTTACATAACACTATAATAAACCTGACCCTCTTCCTATTTCAAAAGCAAAAAATTATTACATTTTTAATATAGATACATATACAACAAATAAAATAGGTAAATATATCCAACATATAATAAAACACATATAAATGAATATCTTTCCACATAATTACATAATTTAGTATTTACTTTTTGTACAAATAACTTATCAGTAACGGTCATCGGCTTGTATACAATAAATCAATGTCACTACCTTCTTTGCAAATCGCCTCATCTAGCGGATAAACATCTAGCCTCTTCACTTTGAGGTACGCGAAGGCCTCCAGATCGTTTAAGTTCATCTGATAAAATGGGGATTCCTCGTTGAATGAACCAACTTCCACTCTATCGACGGAATCGACGGGCTGAGTTACTGATGTCTGCGACTGGGAAATGAGAATAACGAAATATTTTACATGGCAACATTAAGAAAATGATATCAATAGGCAACTGGTAACGCTTTCGCTTAAACAGCAGTGTAGCAGGTTCAAGCTCGGATTGAGAATTTCATATGCGAATTTTCTACAACTTGCTTATATGGGAAAAGAAGATATTGTAAAGATATCTGCACGCCTACTTTGTAGTAGTATGTAGTAGTACCTACCTAGTACAAAATACTTGGTTGGGTACGCCCTTTTCCCTACAATTAAGAGATGGCCTACATCCAATAGCGTGACGTTAAAAGGGCTGAGCATTCATTATTACTATTACATTAAAGAATATATTTTATTTGAGATTTTATATTGCTATTAAGCCATAAACAACGGAATAGTAAAAATAAATAGTACTAAGTAAAAAAATTACCTTTTTGAAGATGATATTAAGTTTTACACATATTTAGGAATATAAAGATTCTATATAATTAACTACCTTAAAAGGGCCGACGGTACTCAGTACTAAATGTATACTTTTGCTTTTAGAATGTAATATATTCAAAGACTGAATGTTGATATGAATAATTAATAAATAAAAATGTTCATATAAGTAGGTACTTACTATATTTATACTACATACATAGGTATTAATTTATCTTCAATTACAATTATTATATGTATATTTGTTATAGGCAGTGGTAGCCCAGTGGTAATGCGCTCGCTTGGGAAACCGAGTGAAGCGGGTTCAAATCCCGGGTCTCGCAAATCTGATATTTTCATGTGCGAATCATTTCTAACATTATTACCACTTGCCTTTCGGTGAAGAACAACATCGTGAGGAAATCTGCATGTCTGAGAAAACTTAGCAAGTTCTCGAAAGACATGTGAAGTCCGTCAACCCGCACTTGGCCATCGTGGTGGACTACGGCCCCTCGTATTAAAGGGAGGCCCGTGCCCAAGCAGTGGGACATTAGAAAGGGCTGAATACATGTATAATATATAAAATACATAAGATTTATGTATTGTATTTATTTATGATTTATATTTATATATATTATATACCTCATAAGATATGCCATCCATAGTGCCAGCATCCCAAGGGTATAAAGGTATTTCACTCTCTTCCAACCACCCTTCCTTCGTGCATAGTTCGAATCTTGTTACCCCTAGAAACCAGTCTGGTGATGGCTTCATAGCAATTACTAAGGAGAACAAATGATGTTTTCTATCAACCCTGAACAGGGAATGAGACGGTTCAGACATATAGGGATGTTCTCGTCGCTTTCCCCTTATAAGCGTTCGTGTGCCTCTATCGGACATCTGCAACGAAATTGCTATTTTGTAATTAAATATAAATAATACTATTTAAATTATTACATGTGTTTAAAAAATACTTTTGTTTATTTAATATTATTTACTTATATTGATATTATATATTTTACTTATATCGATAATATTATTTATATATCATAAAAAAAGTAGTCTATGTAGAGCTATATTTCATCTATACTCTATCTCTATGCAATAAATCACATTGATTTAAATCTTTGTATTGCGTGCGTAGAGAAAGACAAACCAACGAAAAGTAATTTTGGCTCTCATTACATAACGCCTTATCTAGACGCAAAGAGAAAGTACAGTTAATTAAGAAATTACTTTAGCTCTTAAGAAATTCTCTATATTAAAAAGTTTGCAATTGACGCTTACTTCATTTATTATATCTCTTTCAATTAACGAGATATTAGCTTCCTCTGCTAACAACTTTAAGCCGTTACTAGCTTTCGCATCTGGCTGCCATAGAATATATTTATAGGTGTGTGAGGCGCCAACTAAGTGGCTATATCCATTATTATCAGGTTTAGTTGGATACTTTCTAGGGTGAGTCATTCTTGACCAATGACCTTTGAATATTACCTGAAAAAAGAGTACACTGAGATATTTACTTTCACAAAAAAATTACTTTATTGACAGAGGATAATTGTAGCTTATAATGCTTTTCAAAGGTGTTATAATAATAAAATTAAATTTATTTTATATATATTTTTTTAATATTAATACAAACAATCGTACTAAGAAGGCTAGTCTACCTACTAGTCTCGAGAGATATTTTAATTGATCTATGATTAATGATCTATTCCATAAGTGCAGCGAAAATTCAAGCGCAGGTCTGATGGTATTGGTATTGAGATTGGTACTGAGAACTCTTTGGTAGAATAAATCAATGATACGGCCCAACATGTTATTCAAACAGAGAACCACATAATCTACAGCTACTTAAGTTTATTCTTTTTAATTATGTTTCTATTACAAGTATAAAAGAATATTAAGATACTAGCGACTCACCCTCGCTTCGCTCGGGTTCGTCCCTAGGTTGATTCCCCATACAAATTTTCATCCCCATTTTCACCCCTTTAAGGGATGATTTTCGGGATGAAAAGTATCATATGTCATTTCCAGGGTCTCAAACTATCTTTTTACCAAATTTCATCTAAATTGGTTCAGTTGATACTAGATCCAGATAACGAAAAAAAGAGTAACCACTAGAACCTCACAAACTCACAAACTTTACCTCTTTATATTATTAGTATTAGTATAGATTAAATTAGTCTCGTGTAAATTCTATAATATATGTTTCTATTACAAGGGAAAAAGAATTAAAATTTTATATTATATTTAAATCTACGTAAAGCACAGCTACTTTATTACATTAACTCGTCATATATTTTTTTTTTATTTTGATATTTATTTCAATATCGTCTCGTAGTTCACATTTATTACCTCATATCTTGCTTCACTACATAAATTACAAGTTATATTTGGTGGATAGGGTGGACTGTCCAGGGGCTTATTAGAATCTTTTTCAAGTACTATAGTTAAGTTCTCCCCTGTATACCAAACTTCAGAATTTTCAGCTACCATAGCACGTAGTCGTATAGTGTGTGCTTTGCTACTTTGTTTTGGGGAAACCCAGTGAATCTGTAACCAAAAAAATATATAAGTTATCAAAATATCCGAGAAAGTGATATTACGGCAAAGAAATTTAAACATGCATCGTCTACGGTTTTATCTGCGTATCTTCTTCTTTCCATATATCCCACTTCATTTACTTCACTTTAAACATGAAATGTAAAGTTTATACTTGAAGGTTTCAAAGGAAACTTCGGTATTTTTAAATTCATTGTGTTATTTTTAAAGTCCCATTTACTAATTGTTCTTTAGCAATGCATGATTAAATTAAATCAAATCATAATATACTTTCACGTAGACTTTTGAAAGCACTCTTGTATTGTGACTTTTTACATTTAAAAAAATTAAATTGAACGAGGAATCTACCACCGATCTATATTAAATGGACAGATCGACAAATACAAAACATTTTTAAACCATGTGATATCATTAGGGAGAGAATTAGTAAAATTAATGTGCGGCATAATATTATATTATGTATAAATTTGTTTTTGATGTTTATGTAAGATTATAATTACTCAGTATGCATTATTTACTATATCTGTAGTATAGTATTGTGGATCTACGTCTTAGATAATTTTTATAAATCATTTTATGTTCAATGTTACTTTCTTTACAATTTTACCATAACCAATAATATATGTATATAATAACTAGCGACTCACCCTCGCTTCGCTCGGGTTCGCCCCTAGCTTGCTTTCCCAATACAAACTTTCATCCCCATTTTTAACCCCTTAAGTGGTGATTTCCGGGATAAAAAGTACCCTATGTCCTTCCCAGGGTCTCAAACTATTTTCTTACCAAATTTCATCAAAACCGGTTCAGTAAATCCACAGATTACCTTGATTGAGATATATTGGTGCCATTTCAAATATTTATCTTATTGGATTCTACATACATTATAATTATTTTTTCTTATAGATTTGTAAGTTTTCTCGACCTATTATTTTACATTTGTAGCTGTTTAGCTTGTGCATTTGTTTATCCAGTAACGATTGAAAAAATTGTATATAAAAATTGAAATAAGCAGGAAACTCTAATCGGAAGTCACGCGCAAAAGCTAGTCAAATATAACTTAAGCAATTCAAAACTCATTATAAACTTGTCGCTCTGAGTCAACTTTCATTCTTTTTGTAAAGCTTTAATACCTTAGCTTCTTTATAACAGAAAAAGATTTGAGTAATGCTCGAACATTCTTTATAATTAATTTCGAATGAGTGAAATAAATTACTGCTTTACATCTTATAGCACTTTGACGGTTTCTAATCAAATAAACATATGTAGAAACAGCTTTTATACAACTGACACAAATACAAATATGTTGGGACATTAACACACAGCACCATCTAGTTCCATGCTAAGCTACGTGGCTTGTGTTATACATACCAGATAGTTGATACACTACACATATATAACATTAAATACATACATATTATAAATATAACACCCATGACTAGAGTACAAACATTCGTGCTCATCACAGAAATGAATGCCCCCAGCGGGACTCGAACCTGCGATGGCTCAGCAAGTAGGATCACTACACACTGAGCCAAACGTGTCCTCATTATAGAGCTTTTAATAAGTCCAATTATATTTTTAAGTATTAAGATACTTTGTAAGCTTGCAAGTACAATGAAAATAAAAAGACATGGTATTAGAATGATATAAGCAACATATTAAGAAATAAAATTAGACAAAAGAAGACTAAATTTTAAAATGCTTGCAAATTAAATATCTCATGTGTTGTTTTGAATCAAAGTTAAATTATATTTGGTCAAGTAATTTCATATTTACCTACATGTGATATTATTAATATAGGAGGAGGAGAAATACGAGTAAACTTATAATAGTACACTTTTATATTTAAGTATGTTTTATGTATATGTAATCCAAAGACCAAGCTTGTGATAAAATATGGTTTACAATTTTTAGAGATCAAAGAAATCTAAAATATTTATAAATTATATAGTAACTAATTTTTACCTCTACACGATATTTTTCTGAATTATCTGTGTTTTCGACGGAGTTATAGCAACGCTCACTGTATCTGGCGTGACGGTTGGTTTCGATGGTCTTCAGATATCCGACATCAACAGATCGGTGATCAAACTCATCTGTACTATTATCTACTTCGGGATCCTCCACTGTGATCATGAACCATCGGAATGGGCGTGTCTGGTTCACGTCGATTTTTGATTGAAGGATTACTATAGTAAGATTTTTAAATGAGAATAATGTTTAAGTAAAAGTAAGTTTTTACTTTTTAGCTTATAAAAGTAACTAGCGAATTACGCTCGCTATGCTGGGGTACATCCCATACATATACTGTATACTAAATTTAATCCAAATCCGTCCAGCTATTTTAGTGTGAAGCATTAAGAAGTAACATATGTACATAGACGCACACACATACACATTTTTCATTTCAAGATTATATTCATTTTAAAATGATATCAATGGAGCTGGAAATAAAGTACTGATTCAATCAATAAGTTACGGGAGCTCACTTCTGGAGGATAGAGAAAGAGACATGGTGAGAAACATACATCCGTTTCCGCTCTCTATTCATATCGAAATTAAAGAGCTCTGGTGATATACATACATACATACATACATACTGCAGAAAAGAATACTTTATTATGAGAGCTACAATTTCGTGATACTAGCGAAGTTAGTATCTGGATGTATTAAAATTATAGTGACGCATTTCACGAAATTATGGTAAATAATTTACTTTTTAATAGTTAATTAATAGCATACTTATATAATAAACGTATATTGTATAAATCTTAGGTTTTGAAACAATTTGTTTATTTTTTAAACTTTAAAATATCGATAACATAAATTTAATATTCTTACAAACATAGGTCTGATCGGGTCTGTAGATTTTTTCCGTTTTTGAGTCTATGACCATTGTAAAACTGCCTTTATTTTCGCTAGGTGTCAATACAGTGGCAAGAGGTGGTGTTTGGTCACATTTTCCTGCATGTCCCAATGTGGCTGACGCCAGTGTGAGTAATAAAAGAGTTATTAAGTGCCTAGTAACAAAAAATACATATATACTAAATACTATGTTGTAGGTATACAGTTCAAAAAATTTATATTTTTTTCAATGTTAGTAGATAAGATTAGGTAATGAGTTTTTAAAATACTAAACTTTGCCCACTGCTTATTGTGATTCATAGCATTAGACAAAGAATTTTAAGAATCTGGTTAGCATTTCCTTTGATTATTAACTACAAATACAAAGAAACAAACATTTACAATAATTGTACAATACATACATGAATCACAAAGAATGTGTTAGCTTGAATGTTAATTTAACATATTATTTCAATAAAGAATATCAGTTTGTTTTGTTTTAATGTAATAGTTTCATTTAATTAAAATTTCAATCAAATATCGATCGAATGCGCCTGATAAAATATTAAAAGCAAAGTTGCAGACCTGCAAAATATAAGGTTAATTCATGATAAATAATCAAATTAATGTGAGCAAGGCCCATCCGTTGTTCCTGTTCTAGATTTCTAATTAGGATACGAACGTGGAAGCTATAAAATTAAATAAGTTCTGCAGTCTCTGTAAATGTTAGTTACTACGAGCAGGTACGCTGAGTTTAGAGCGATAGCGTTGATATTTTGAAAACAACACGTGGTAGGAATATTTTGTGATAATTATTTCAAAAAAGAACATATACTAATGAATATGTAGTTTAAATAAAATTATAGTAAAACAGGTGATTTATGATGTAATTAATTAGTATAAATTATACTTACATTGTAAAAAACAAAATTTTCAACACAGCACTATACACAAAACACTAAAGAAGAATCACAACTAAATAAGATTTCTGTATCATCAATTCTAATATTTTACATTTTACTATAAGGTCGTTAAGGAAAAAACGAATCGCGGCTAAATTGAATATTGAATCTATTAGGTTAACCTCGCGTCAACTAACAGTGCACCTCGAATACGAAGGAACGCTTGGACGCTAGCCAAAAGATTTTGCTCCAGAAAAGATTTGACACGTTTCATATTTTTGGTAAATTTTGAATCAGATGAATCATTATTTACATTTACTGTACATTGTAAATATTTATTATCTTTAAATTAATGGTAGTTTGTCATTCAAAAAGGCATTTATAAAGTAAATTATGAATAAAACTATAATATAAAAAGTAAGAAGATGTAACTACAGGATATGTAGATTCGTTACTTCAGTTTTAATTTTAATATGTTCAGTACAAATATTTGCCCTGAGCGGGAATCAAATAAACGATTAGCTTGCTTTGATGCAAAGCCAGGTAGATCTGAACACCGTTGTGCTATATAGTACTATTAACTCGTAATATAATTATAATACATATACAATAAAATTTTAATACAATTTGAGAAGTTCTTAAAAAGAATGACCCTTTAATTTTTATGTTACGACTTTCAAGTAATGTTTTTTGTTCAAACTAAAATTAGAAATAGAATAATCATATCATAACTGTGCCGCTCTAAATTAAGCTTGTCATACATCCGCAAGTCGAGTCGCTATTCGCGCATGCAAACTGCTGTTTTAGTACTAATATTGACTACTGCGCAACTTATTTCAGAGCGACACAGTTATATTACGAATACTGTATATGAATGAAAATGATTTTGCTTACTACATTCTTAGAATGTAACTGACATGATTTTTTATAGAACTCATATAATATTCATATTGTCTGGTTAAAGGCAATTCTTTAATACATATTTATAAACAACGACTACATGCGACAAAATATAAATATGTGATCTGTGCAAATGTTGACATTAGTCGCATTATTATTATAAACTAGCATTGCCCGCGGCTCCGCCCGCGCTCAGATGACCAAAAAACAAATTCTTAGGTTTTACATATTAGTATACTCTTACATTGCAGTTTTTGTATTTTTTCTCAGAAATGAGACATTTTCCCGCGGTAAAAAGTATCCTATATGTTGACCCGGATAACCATACCATACCAAATTTCATCAAAATCCCTCCATGGTTTTTCTGTGATACGGTAACAGACAGACAGACAGACAAAAATTCTAATAACTATAGATTCTTCCTCTGTATCGATAATAATTTTATTTCAATAAGATTTTCCAAAAAATATTTAATGTACAGATTCGACTTAGTTACAATTTTTTTTTAATTTGAAGTCGGTTGAAAATTCGTAAGACTGCGTCATAAATTTGTATATAGTGTCGTCATATTCGTTGCAACAGGTAAAATAGGGCTAACAATATCCGCGACTTTGATAAGAAAAATGGTTAAGGACTGAAGGGTACAACTTATGCAATGTGAAAGTTTGTAAGTGGATGAATGTCGGTAAATTTTTCTTACCGGGCTGTAACAGTTCATACATTCTGGATTTGACTGACAATCAGTTATAGATAGATAATAACCTTTTTTTTTTTGTTGACGCTGGGGAAACCCATCATGGGGACCCTACCGGCCGTCAATGGGTAGGGTACTGTGAGACTCCTACTTACTAAAACCCACAGCGGAACCCGTCGCCGCAGTGCAATGGGGTGTGCAGGATCGCTTGCGCATTCACTGCAACACCCCTGCGGACAGCCCGTACCCCGCGGGCCTGCCTCGCCTAAACCGGGATGCCCTCGATTCACAGAGCATCCCGACCGCCCCGATGAGGTGCAGGGGAGTCAACGAGAGACCCCCCCCGCAGTAGCTCCTCTAGGGTGGCGGGAGAAGATGCGCATACCGGCGCCTCCTCTCCCCCAGCCGACGGCGACGAAGAGGGTCTGCTAAGGCGTTAGCCTCGCGTTCCCTCTCCGCCGTCAGATAGATAATAACCTGAATTATAATATATAGCACACTTTTTACGTAGTACCACGCGAGTGAAGCAGCGGGGAAAAACTGATAAGATATGAAAATAAATATGTGTATACTATTTATTCTATACATATAATATAATTGTAACTAAGCCGAATCTGTACATTAAATATTTTTTGGAAAATCTTATTGAATCAAACACTATTATCGATACAGAGACCGAATCTATAGTTTTTAGAATTTTTGTCTGTCTGTCTGTTACCGCATAACAGAAAAATCACTGGAGGGATTTTGATGAAATTTGGTATGGTGATAGCTGGTTATCCGTGTCAACATATAGGGTACATTTTACTGCGAGAAATTGTCTCATTTCTGAGAAAAAATACAAAAACTGCAATGTAAGAGCATATTAATATGTAAAACCTAAGTATTTGGTTTTTGGTCATCTGAACGCGGGCGGAGCCGCGGGCAATGCTAGTTGTGACATAAACTTTCGAAAATAGTTGATCAATAGAGAAGAAACTTTCATCAGCTATCGTGTACAAGCAAGTGAGGTTTCTGACATAGTCATCAAATTACAATGGTTAGCGCGTGAGATTTATACTTTCCTGAAGTTTACACCTGATCTAAGCCAGTTCGGGTCGCTATTATTTTAATCAATTAATGTTAATAACAAATTTGCTTTCACTACCCTATGTATGATTGAATTTTGATAGTACGATTTTATTAGTTATGGAAATGTTTTAGACGAGTGAAGATGTGTAGAGTTCCCAGCGTAACGTTTTGCTTCATGTGAATTTAGAGCAAACATTTATGGACGCATTCGACTTGTGAAATCGAACCCATCCGGCATATTAAGCAACGCAAACTTCTTATATCAATACATAAAGTTTAACGTTTGTGTGTTTGTTTTCAATATATTGACGTAATATTTATCCGATTGAACTGAAAGCGTGTACTAGTATAAGTTATTAAAACTCGAGCGATTGTTTTTAACATACTTATAGTAACGCGAACGTCTTTTATTTCATTAGGTATATATTAGTATGTTATCAGTATGATCTATACATATAATAAAATTGTAACTAAGCCGAATCTGTACATTAAATACTTTTTGGAAAATCTTTTAGAAATAAATAGTATTATCGATACAGAGGCCAAATCTATAGTTTTTAGAATTTTTGTCTGTCTGTCTGTCTGTCTGTCTGTCTGTCTGTCTGTTACCGCATCACAGAAAAACCACTGGAGGGATTTTGATGAAATTTGATATGGTGATAGCTGGTTATCTGGGTCAACATATAAGATACTTTTTACCGCGGGAATATATCTCATTTTTTGAGAAAAAATACAAAAACTTTTTAACCCGGGAAAATGTCTAATTTCTGAGAAAATACAAAACTACAATGTAGGAGTATACTAATATGTAAAACGTAAGAGTTCGGTTTTATGTCATTTGAACGCGGGCGGAGCCGCGGTCAATGCTAGTCTTCTATATAATTAATTCTGTTACCTTAGCCATCAAAATGATATTCAAAGAAAGGCCACGTTTAAACCTTACCACGTGCAAAAAGCTAAAGCTGCCTTGAAATAATGAATTTCTATTGTTATTATTATAATGCATTATTGAGTCAGTTGGAACAAAGGAATTTTTATAATATAGCTGGGTCAAGATATACTTAATATTGCGCTACTTTTTCAATCGACATTTGATGTGTGATGAAACAAATGAGACAATATAAATCAAATGAGAATAATATTTTTACATTTAGAGTGTTTGTTAATTAAATATTGTACGGCCTTAATTTGATGTGATGATAATTTATCAATATACTAGTTTTTGTCTTTGACTCCGTCCGTTATTGTCGCTAACAGCGTATATCCGCGGGACATTACCCTTTTTGTTAAATGATCAATATATACTTGAAACAACGTGAGTTGCTACCTTTTGGCGAGTCTACCAAACATATTTTCGGCATTTTTTTCACCATATTTCGTCATCATGTTCACTTGAAAATGCAGCACTTTCGAAAAAAGTCGTAGAGATAAAGTTTGGTAGACTCGACAAAAGGCCACTCACGAAGTTTCTAATATGTATCGATCATTTAACAAAAAGGGTAAAGTCCCGCAGACTAGAATATTTCTCAGAGAATGTGTAGATATTTATTATAGAAAGACAGCTGAATTACGAATTTACGATTTATTTTTCCCATAATTTCGTTAGGAGAGTTTCAACAGATAATTTGCATTCATGGCTTAATGCTTATAAAGTTTTTACCCAACAAAACAATAGAGACACGAAATATCCCACTTTTATGGCTGTTTAGTACCTGCTTAAAAAGTTACCTGCGGTTATAGTACGCATAAAGAGCTCGTAAACATGTAATTTTAATTGTTTGAAAATAAATTACATAAAGCTTATTTTTTTACCCTAAGATGATAATTTGTAGAAAAAATTCTTAGAAAATTATACCTCTTTTTGGGAATCTTCGTGAAACGTGCTTTTTAATATCATCAAAATATACGTACGAGTAGCTAGGTGGTATTGTTTATGGTATAGAGAAGCTTTTGGGGAATTTAAATCTTATAAATATTATAGCTAAGTATATGTCTTAATATCTATTGATTTGTTTATTTGCCTTTAAGCATGTATGACTCAATCTTGTGTTTAAAGACAACGTAACTCTGACGATGGCGATAGGCTATATTTTAAACGAATTAAAAAAAAAACAGATATACGATTCTTACTTTGACCCCTTTACGATCGCGGACACGATGGCTTTACAGTAAACAATAGGTTTCTTAGAAATTCAATTAATTTCTTAGAAATTTACCTGGAGATGTTAATAATAATTACTTTAGGGTGATTTTAGTGATGCGGTAACAGACAGATAGACAGACAAAAATTCTAAAAACTATAGATTCGGCCTGTGTATCGATAATAATATCTATTTCAATAAGATTTTCCAAAAAATATTGAATGTACAGATTCAGCTAAGTTACAATTTTATTATATGTATAGATAAGATAGCAAATATATAGCGTTAAATGCAATAATGTAAAAACTATCAATTAGTTAGTATAATATTAGGCACTATAAATACTCACATTTGAGCACTCATTCCCATTTGCACGATAAGTTTTCCGAGTAAGAGACATCGGCTATGGCAAACTGATTACAATTTGAGATTGAGTGCGAACATACGATATTAAATATTCATTCGTAC